ATCAGAAAGCGCACATGAATACGATCAGAATAAAGTAGAGGCCTATTATTAGGGCAGGTTCAATCTCTTTTAGGTTAGATTTGTACCATCATCCCCGAACCCTTATTTGGTTCTAGACCTTATGGAGTTGACGATCTCTTGGATCGTTAAGGGGTGTAACCTTCATCCTATGAACGGTTTACAAGTTCCTTAAAAACTTGTTGGCGACTCTTTTGCTCTATCTTCTTCCCTTTTGGACGCCACCGTACTTTAATGTATGATCACAGTGGGGTTCAAGCTAGTGGGATTTTAAAGGCTTGAAATTATTCCCTACACACGTGAACATGTGAAGTGTGTTCATTTCACCATATATTTGTTTATCTCTAATATCACCATTCCAAATCTCTATTTAATAGTTGATTAAAAAGGTTAAACTCATGCGGTTATGACTTCTTCTGGAAGTCATTAATAATAAATATTGGTGATCATTATTTGATTTAACATTCATTAATATAATTTGATGACAAAACTTGATATTATTAATGTCATTCTTCAATCTCATATGAATTATAATATAACACACGTAATTATATACGCTAATCATGGTTCTTCTGGACCATAAGAAAACATTGTCACGCATTAGTGATCCATTGATATTCTTTAGACGTTTCATAATTGACACGATATCTCTCTTGCAAATACAAATAGTTAATTTCATTAACTCTCACATGCTCAAAGTTCAGGTTGAGATTAGAGATGGCAATATTAAGTGGATATCCGCTAACCCGCTCCACCCGCTTAAAATAAATGGACGAAAACCCGAATTAAATGGATGAGAAGCGGGTGACGGATGAAGTGGATGATGGATCGGATCGGATGTGGATGATATTTTTTTCACCCGCTAACCATCCCATCCGTTTAACATATATTAAATTTTTAATCAAAGAATTTTACTAATAACATATAGAATGTGCAAGAAAATTACTTGTCTTTTTTTTGTTGCAAATTAATTTTTCAAACAATATGTTGTTATTGTTTCTTTTTTATTAATAAATTAAAAAAATTATTATATAAATAACCGAAAATTAAAGTTTATCTGAGTTTTTTTTACATTTTAGTACTCATCCATTTGTCATCCGCTCCACCCTTTCATCCGCGGATGATGGACGGACGGATATGGATGATGGGTGAAGCGGATGACGGATGGATGTGGATGGAGCAATTAGGATAATGGATGGATGCGGGAGAAGCTCCACCCGATCCAAATCCGATCCATTGCCATCTCTAGTTGAGATGTTAATAATGTTGTCACGTACATAGATTTTCAAGAGTTTGATAATAATTGCAAATTCAAGATATAAACTTTGTAGGGTTGGATATTACAATAGGTCATATATAAGTTCTTCAGGAACTCTTCTTAATTCATAATGTGCAATTAAATCGGTGTCATCAATAATTTCATCACAATTATAAGCCCAATGGAATATTAATCTCTCTTTTTTTTTGACAAGGTATTAATCTCTTTCTAATTTTTCATCAAAGTTGTAAACATACCTTACTATACTTTGAATGAACATTTACATACACCACAGTTATTGTATGAAATTAATGCATGCAATATGAGATATAGAAAATATGATAACATATTAACAAAAATACAATAAAGTAATGCATCTAAAAACTTCCTATATATGCAATAAATATACATTAACTTATGACTCACACATGCACATGAAAATAAGACTCAAAATGATGCAAGACACTGTACAGTGTGGATTTAAAAATCCATATTTCATTGGACTTCGGGTCCATGATAAACTTATGATCATTATCATTATGTCGACATCAAAATGTACATATATTTCAGATCCCTTACTCATTAGTCCATTCCATTATACATATGCATATTATTCATCGGTTCTATTATGTACCGGTATCATAAAATTCCTTTAACTTACATTCCGCATGCTATTTTACTATGATATCTGAATACATTTCTCATTTGTACCATCATAATTTTTCTTACATCATAGGCCATCTATTATAATAATTCAGATATCTATACCACTTTTAGGGTATTTCATACACTATGGTATTTATATACTATTACACTATTAGTGTCAACTGCACTATCTTGCCAAATATCATATCTATTAAACATATCTTTATTTTGGAACCGATCATATACAACCTACACTTCAGGTGTAGTGATTCAAGTACAATTGGCAAGATTTTATCTTAATGTATACACATAATTAATATGACCAAAATATATCTTCAACGCTATGCAACATGAGTCATAACTGAATACAAATCAAATCATAAATGTGCAACATATCTTCATAATATATATACAAAAGTTGGCATATATATAACTTTTCAAACTACCATTATAGGGATCATATATATTCTTTATTTATTTATTTATTTATTTATTTCGATTTTCCAACTTTTGCTATTTCTTCTCCCCTAAAGTTGGTAAAATATCTTTTTTATAGGGGCGTCTAATTCTATACCAACTTAGTATATAAATTTGCATTAAAATTCATTTCATTGGGAGGATCACAATCAAAATTTATCTCTTTTGGAGAACAATTTTGATAAAGAATCATTTATTCATTAACTTTATATTTCATGTGTATTTATTATTAAATTTTCAATAATATTTTCTTTTCTGGAGATCAATGTCAATGGGGAGGCATATGTTGTGCAGTTGTACGTTTTTCTTTCTTCTCCTATTTCATATGTGCTGACATATAATAGCCCCAATCAAAAGAATTTTATACAAGCATAGATCACTTGCTTGTACTCTGATAGTTTACAATAATATATACGTTATTTTGGTGAACTTCTGGTCACCCATTACTCCTTTTTATAACCTATTAACTGTTGAAATTTTCATCAATACAAATTATTATAACTCACAATCCAAATATAACTCAATCTCAATATTACGTCTTGCCATTCAATTCATTTTATATATTTAACATTGAGAAAGCGTCAGCACATTATCAAATGAAACTTCAGGTTTCCATTACGGGTAATTATTATTAAACCCGGATGGCCTAATTTAACTATCACATCCAATCACTTCTCTAAATTTGAATTCTGGTCAGTTTTCAACACTAGTGATCACTTTATTAAACTTACTATATGCATGGCCATGAATGTGATGTGATTTTAGAGCACCAACATGTGTATGTTTCTTTATACAATTGGCAAGACAATCAATTAATATTTTATCCAATAATTACTCATACTCTACTGGAGTTTAAACTATAAACTTGATACATGTTAATCTTGTTGGATATTTCATACTCTTCTGGAGTCTTTTATATAATCATGAAACATATGAACTTTACTAAAAGTGATTTCTTCTAGAAATGTAATGATATTTACTACTTCCTCAAATTTGTCATTGTCAATAGTGACTCCTTTCCTTTTCAAAGATACTTAATCATCTTTAGAACCTATTGATTTATCACGCTTCAGGCGGCATGCTATAGGTTTATCAACAATTAATGTTGTACTTTAGGACATCAATTTTAAATTAGAGCATTTACAACTAGTATATGATAAATGTTATTTGTTTATATCCATCTTCAGGATGGTGTCATTTCAAAATATTTAATTAACATGTAGCTAGTTTTATTAAATAAATCGTTGATATTTAAGTTATTGTATGTATCAAACTGACCATCAATATATTTTATTATTTATATGCAAGGATTACATAAAATGTCCCCATATTCCTTGCATATGGGGGTATGGAATGAATCAATCCAACAACCTTTAAAATCCTTGCAACTTTTAAGCCATAAATTCTTTTTGCAATGTCATGTATTAAGTAACGTGTTCCTTTTAGCAAAAACATGCTTATATAAAATTATACTTATAGAACACTTATCATGTTCCTCATGCCCAATTACATTCATCTTTAAAAAAAAACAAAACCTCTTATATTTATAGGCATAATAAAACGTTGATTATGTATAGTTTCTCACAATGTCATGTTTAATTACTTGAACTCATAACACACCTTTTGCTATATATTTAATTAATTAAGGAACTTCAAGTCCATATGTACGAGAATATATACCAATCCATCTACATTTTTCAGAAAGAGAAGGTAAAAATAAGACATGAATACTCTTTATAAATATAAGGAACTTCAGGTCCGCACATCATATTCAATTTACATTCATTCCAATAATCTAACTTCAAGTAGGTACATAATACTATAATTGAATTTAATCACACGTCAATCAATATAATGTATATATAGTATGCTTCATAATTTTATCAACTTATAAGGATAATAATAATAGGTACATAATACTATAATTGAATGAGAAGGTAAAAATAATATGAGAACCTACTACTTCACGCTTTAATAAAAACATACCTAAATCGATTGAATCAACTATACTGTCGGATCGATCAATTATATCGATATATTGCCTGATATAGCTTAATTAGAAAATAGAAACAAGCACATAAACAACCAATATTAACACGTTCACGTTAGTGGAAAACCACATGATTAATATCATACTTGAAATATAAAAATATAATTCAATACATAAATTATAAATAGTTTCACATGTGCCTAAGGCTTACTTCGTACAATTTACAAACATAAGACATGGGTAAATAATTGCTAAATCAAACCATTTATATTTGCTATCAAGCATAGAGAAATAACCAAACTCATTTACGGATAGGAAAAGTAATACCAAAATCTAGCAATTATATGTACTACAAGTTCATAAAACCATACGTTCATAAAATTAACCCCAATAATAATTTTATATACCTTTTAGATTCAAACTAAAAAAAACTCATAATCAAAACAAAACTACTAATTAGTTATTCTGCATCAAATCCAACTATTCCCAAATTGCTCATTGAACTCCAGGAATAATAAAAATACGAAAATTTGGAAAACAATATAAACATATTATGTAAAGGTTTAAAATTAACAATAACAGCATAATTGAGAATGAACTTTCCTGATATAAAAACCAGCCTTATCGTCAACTCACTACTACAAATCCTTTAGTTTTTGGACGCTACTGGTTCGATGTTGTGTATGGGGTGTCCACGTAAAAATAAATTCCCGCTTATTTTCGACGCTTTTATGTGTCGAATTAGCTATTGACAAGAAAAAGCGTCGACAAATATGTATGATTTACACGTGACTCAAGGCAACCCAGGGAAAATAAAAAAAATAATAAAAAAAAAGAAATATCAAACACCGGCTTATACCCACGAATATACCCAAATTCTTCTCTCTCTCTCTAACTCTTACATCACAACACCTTAACACAAACTCCTTCGTCACTGAAATCCTCGAAATCCTCTTCTTCGATCTCTCAATTTCTGGATTTTCTCTCCTCTTCTCAATCATGGTGCTCGAGGTTTTTCCTTCTACTCAATCTCATATTAAATTGCTTCCTAAAACGATTTCAAAATTAGGGTTTTCAATTTTACTGACATTCTATTATTCCCCCTTTTTTATTGGAATTTTCAGGCGACTATAATCTGCATCGTCAATTCGGAGTGGATGCGTAATGGTGATTACTCGCCCACCAGATTTCAAGCTCTTTCTTATGCTGTTAATGTCATTTGCGGCGCTAAAACTCAGGTTTTCTGTCTCTCTCTTCACTTCTTTTAAACCCTAATTTACAATTTGGGGGTTGAATTTGTTATCAATGGTGTTTTTTTATGAATTTGGTAGCTAATTGTGGATATTACTTGATGGGTTTTGATGTTATTGATTGATTTCGTGTAGTTTAATTCGGAGAACACTGTTGGAATTCTGACTATGGATGGAAAAGGTGTTCGTGTTTTGGTCACTCCCACCAGTGATCTTGGAAAGATATTGGCTTGTATGCACGGTTAGTTTTCGTTTGATATATCATGAATTGATTAACATAAATCTTGATTATGCATGTTATTGAATCTGTTGCTGTGAATGCATGATTAGAAAACAAAGAAGTTATATTGAGTTGTTGTGAAATTACATTGAGTTTTTAGTTATTGTGTCGTAGAAAGCCATCGTATTTAAATCTAGGGTTTGACTGTATGGCGTGTCGGGTGTAGGGGATTTAGTGAGCGTTTTAGCTTACTTACGCTTCAATAATTTCAGGTTTTGGTCTAACTAAGAATCTCAGTTGTTGCAGAATTTCATTCGGTTTGTTTTACTACTCAAATATACCCTATTCATTTTCTGGGCTGGGTGTCACGCTATGAATTAAGAAGTTGCATTAATTGGGTTTCAAATTCATAGGATTTCACCAATTGGGTAGAATAAAAAATACAATACAATTTTACATGATTGTTTACATTTAGAGATATACCGTGTATAATAGAACAAATGGAGTATTAAAGTGGTGAGTAATTGGTTTTAGATATCTGAGAAAACAAAGAAGTTGCATACATTTCACCATTCCAGCTTTTATCACAATTTTCTTTATTTATTATTAACTTGGACTAATCAATCATTTGATGTTGCAGAAGAAAAAAGAACGATGAGCTTTCAAAGCTTTATATGCTTGCATTAAGTTATTATTAATATTATCTGAATTCTGAACCAGTTTTGATCGTATTACTTTGGTTAAAATACACATACAATAGTTAGAAGTTAGTTTCAATTTTCAACGAAATTAGTTAAGATACCAAGCTAAATATCTAAAAATTCTCATAAAAGATGTGTAAGCATTCCTATTTTGGCAAGGTGATGAATTGCTTGGTTTTGTTGTGTAGTTGATGATGGCTAGGCACACTTGAGCTTTATTACCATTACCTTAAGGTTTAATCTGTAGCTCGGGATTACGAGCTCAGTAAAATAAGAAGTCAAAATGACACTGTAGCAGAAGTGGCCCCTCTGATGAAGAAGAAATATAGTCTTAAATAGAGAGTAAGAAGACCCCGGGATTGAACAGATGAGTTTGCTGAGTCTGAAATAGTACTGATTATCCTCTCTAAAGAAATTTGTCATCAATGTGGTATGCTGCTCTCTTTTACACATGTTTGTTTTCTCACATGTCTTTGTTTCCTTGTTATTCTGCCTGAGAATCTGAAATCGAGGTCCTTATGGTGCTTCATAATAAGATATTTTAAGGAATTTATTGATTCAAGAATGTATTGTTCGATTCTGTAAATGTGCTGGAAAAATTTGTATTTCTTGAAATCGACCAAATCAGAAATATAAAACACTTAGTAAATGTTATGCTCTTATTTTGGGGTTTCTTGAAAATCAGCTGAGTGATTGGCAGCACTCATTTAGAAAACCATACTCTGCTAAACCTGGTTGGAAATTTTATTGTGAAAGGAATGATTAATTTTGTTAGATACTTGGACATTTGTTAGATATTTAGACTATCCATATTGCTTGATTGCTTGCTACATTGCATCTCTATAAATGTGCTAGTGTACTTGAATGACTGATTAGGTCATTTAAACATGATTTAAAGTGATATATGGTGCCTCTTGATAAAACTTGTGGACTAGAATTTGCATCCACAAATAATTTTATTGAAGTAGTATTTAACAAATAATAGAATGTGGTAGCGAAATTGATCTTTCATTCGCGGGAAAGAGTGACTTAGCTGTAGGAAAAGTGCTCCTAGGACTGTAGTTTGTCCTAGTACTTCATTATGTTAACTGTTTTATATACCTCTTTTATCGTCTTCCTTTATTTCCCCTCTAAAAACTCCTGTATGCCTAATGCTTGACCATCATTTTGCTTTCATCAAGACAAGCTTAATGCTTGACCATTGTTTTGCTTTCTTATTTCCTCTGTTTGTTTGTGTCTCTCCTTTCTACCATTCTATGGCTACTAAATAGACCAGACTTTAGAAGCTTTGCAGTCAAGTGCTCCCCAATCCCCATTGATCTATATTTCTCAGTTACAAAAGATGCTATTGAAAGTTTGAAACTATGACTAGATCATTTTCTTAAACATCTCCTTCTAGTGGTTTCCATAATTGTTAATATGGAAGATTTTCTATAGTTAGGGATGACTGTTTGTGATATACTAAGAGAGACATAATGAAGTTTTATGCATGCCAGTGGTGAATTACTACTATTTCGAGTAGAATTTTTGGGATGAATTTGATAGAATGGTCTGGGTCATTGTGGTAAATTTTGGCTGGAGTCGTATGCCATTTTATATTGTTAATTTTTCATGAGTATCTTTTTAGAAGTACTGAATGGTAACCATATCAATCTCACTCCCATACATATACCTTGTGCTTGCTTATTTGTGTCGCTCTAATTGAGTATATATGGAATTTTTTCATCTCATAAAGTTATTCCCTTATTTATTCCTGCAGTGTTTGTATGGAGGGGCACTTTACCTATTATTTATATTATCTTAGCTTGGACCATCCTCTCTTTTTTATCTTAGCTCTGCATATTCACCTAATATTTATATTATCTTGGACCAAAAGGCTTATTGCTTATGAATTTTTTAGGGGGTTTATAATTAAATTAATATTGGCTCCATCTTGTTGCCATAGCTTAAGCCGAGTGCAGTGCCTTTAGTTTCTGAGCTTTGGACTGAGGTAAGCAGAGGAACCCACGCTTGCCTCGGATCATTATCTACATTACCCTTAAACTGAATACTAAGCTGAAATCCAGAGTTGAATCCAGCTCTAAATTTCAGAACTGAATTCAGAGCTGAATTTCACATCTGAATTTAGAACTGAATTCAGAAATGAATTCAGAGCTGAATTTCAGAACTGAATTTCAGAGCTGAATTTCAGAACTGAATTTCAGAGCTGAATTTCAGAACTGAATTTCAGAGCTGAATTTCAGAACTGAATTTCAGAGCTGAATTTCAGAACTGAATTTCAGAGCTGAATTTCAGAACTGAATTCAGAGCTGAATTTCAGATCTGATACATTTATACTTAAGTTGTTTCTTAGCATACTAATCTGATTTCAATATGTGTTTGGTATTTCATGCAATCAAGTTCACTCTTGAGTTTTTGTATGCTTAAAGCTTATTTACAATTGGTGAATGAAATGGCTATTTTAAGTTGTTAATAATCTGATAGGATTATTGTGCTTCAAATGCATCTGAATGCACACAAATTATATCTGATGTGTTAGTATTAGTCATTCTGGTATTGATTCAATTCATGTTGTTAATCAAATTGGTAGAATTTTGGTTCTATCTGATGGGTATTTATATCTATTTGATCTGCAATTGTTACAGCCTGTGAAAAAGTTGGGATTCTAAAGGGTGTTAATGTTGTTGCTAGAAGGGTTTGTAGTATTGAATCTGGAAATTCTAATTGGATTAATGAACAGGGAGTTAGTAGTAGTGGTAGTAGTGTAGGTGGGAGGCTTATGAAAAATTTAGGTGGCGGGGTTAGATCGAATGGGGTGAGGTTTAAGGAATTCAGTTCTAGGGGAGTGGATAATGATGGTGCCTACATTTTTTTGGTGGCAATGGAGAAGAAAGCGGTGTTCATTGAGCTGAATTCAGGCAGTAGTAAGCATGATCGAGAGGTCGATGCGAAACGTGGGTTGTTCGTGGTTTTGAAGGAAATGTCGTGTATGGATGGTGTGAAGAGTATGGCTTGGCTTGATGATTCATTGATTTTAGGGACTGATAATGTGTTGATGTTTAAAGGTTTTGATGATGAGGAACTTGAGTTACAACAAACTCATCTCATAAAGACTTTTCAAGTGTTTGTGCAGCCTAGGTGAAATTGATCTTGGAGATGGAAGAAGTAACTAAAGCTGAGAAGACTTGAAGGAGTTCTTTATCAAGAAAGTTATTCAATATAAAAGATGAGTTCCCTAACAGGAACTGAGTTCCCTCACAGGAACTTGAAAATTGCTGACTAGGATCTTTGGAGGAACTTAGTAAGCGTGAAGTCCAAGTAAACGTGCCAGAACAAGAATACAACGCAACAATGTTTTAGTTAAGATTTTATCTTCTAGATTCATTGTTAAATATGTTAAGTAGGATATACATGAAACTTATTAGAAGCGTGACAGTTAGCTTGGTAAATAAATTAAAATCGGAAAAGATAAAAGATAGAAATCGGAAAAAGATCTTTAAATATTTATCTTTTAAAATCAGTTTGTTAAAAAGATATTATGCTTTTTAATATTTCTATCTTATTTTCTGAAAAGATTTTCTTCAAAGGATTTAATTAAAAAACCGTGTTTTAAGATAAGTTAAGTTTTACTTATTTATCTTTATGTAAACCTACTGTTTATACAGGTAATACTCGTATAAATAGTAGAGAATAATATGAGTCTAGGTTTTTGTGAATTTTATGCGTGAAGAATTTACAGAGCTATAGTTGCGTAAGTTTGCCAAGCTTATCAGACTGTCATATTAGTTTCGAGTTTCATGCATAGCTTGCCTATCATATACTAGGTGTTAATTCTTGTATTTGGTTTTGGGTTTATCAGGGTAAGAGTGTTTTTATCATTGCATACAGAGAGAGCTTCTGGTGAGAAGGGGAAAGATTTGTACTTAGGGAGTACGAGTGAGTTTGAGTGTGGGACTCAAACTGGGTAGAACAAGGTGTTGTTCTGTAGCAAGTTCATTCTCGAACTTGAGAGTAGAGGCTGAATTATAATAGGTTGTAACTTGGTGTTTGCCCTATTATAGTGGAATTGTTTGAGTTTGAAATCCCTAAGGTAGGGTCGAGGTTTTACTTCTAGCTGGGCACTAGAAGGTTTCCTCGTAAAATTTGTGTGCATCGCAAGTTCCTATTTTGTTCTGTTTTATATTTGCAATATTATTATTTAGGAACTCAACTACAATTTACCCCCCTCTTGTAGTGTTCATCTCTGTTGACATAATGCTTATAGTTTGATGTCCTATATTATCGGGCATGTTGATTTGATATTTTCACAGGTTGTAACAATTGCAGATCCATGCAGATCAATTGCTGTTGGTGGTACCCTGGTATTTGGTAATTCTGGTATTTGATTGCAGATCAACTAGATACAAAAACACATCTGGTAATTCTGGTATATTTACAATTCATGTTGTTCTGCCTGACACGGCTGCTATTCCTTGTCTCAAATTGTTGTCAAAAGATAAGAAGGTGCTTCTACTAGTTGATAATGCAGGCATTGTAGTGGATAATCATGGACAGCCCGTTGGTGGTACCGTGGTATTTGGTTGTGCTCCTCGTTTGATTGCCGAGTTATCTTCGTATGTGGTGGTTGCTAGTAATGGAAAGATGGAATTATAAGCTTGCGTGTGTGTGTATGTGTGTGTGTGTTTGTGTATGTGTGTGTGTGTGTATAAGCCTATATTGTGTAATGTACTAATTTATACTTTGTATTTTTTTTTGAAGATTGGAAAAGACAATGTAGGTGCAACAAGAGAATAGGCCGGAACACTTGAGCATAATAACAAGCGACTACATCGTCTATAACGCCATCATCTATCTATTTTGGTTTTTAGTCTTAATTATTTTTTTTTTTGGTGAAATTTTTTAGTCTTAATTATATTACTGATGTATTTATTTAGGGACAAGCTACTATTATATGCGCTTTTTTTTATAATTAATTGTGTTGATGTTTTCGTTTATAAATTTGGTAATTTAATTAACTACGTACTCTTATTATTGTTGATTAATTATTATTGATTTCTTTTTTTAATCTGATCTAGTTATATAGAATATTTGTTTACTTTAATTTCAATGTTATTAATTTAATTTATGATAAATTTAAATAACTATAATGTATGTATGATGGTAATAATTTAATAAAAGGAAATTTTTTTTTAAAAAAAAACTTAAAAAACATTTCTAGACGCTTTTTAATGTCTACATATTTTGCATTTTTTCACATTTCAAAAGTTTCCCGCCATACCATAGGCTGACACGAATAAACGCAAGACAACAAAAAGCGTAAATTTGAGTTATGTGGACATGTAAAAGCGACGCTAAAAAACTACACAAAGTTGGGAAAATGCGCGAAATTAGTATTTTCCGACACTTTGTATATTAGTTTAGACACAAAAAAGCGTCGAAATTCTCGACGCTTTTTAGCAGCGTCGAGGAATTTTTTTTCGACGCTTTTTAGCGTCGAAAAAATACCTAAAAAGCGTCCAAAAACACGCCTTTTGTAGTAGTGACTTCATGTTGTCAATGTCATCTGCTAGCCTGTAACTCATGAAAACGTCAATGAAAAGAAAATAAAGTATAGTCCTTGATTAAGGCTAATCTATTATAAAGTAGTTCTTTGTAACCAAATTATTAATACCATGAGACTCCTTGTACTAGTCCCAAATAAATTAATGAGGACTGGGAATGATATGACATTCTTGAAACGTGTGATTTCATTATTAAAAGACCAAAACCCATGATCAAGATTAATCTCCTTCTAATTTCTTCCCAAGATGCGACACAACAAGATAATAATGAGTATAATTTAACACATTCAGTATACAACGAATTAATTATTAACCTAAGAAATCAACAATAAAATTTACATATTGATTAGAGTTTTGGTGTTGATAACGTGTTATAAAATAAAGAGAAATATAAGAGAGATTGATAGAGAATATATCAGTGTATTTCTATTCCATATAATGGGGTATATATAAATACAATATATTAGGGTTTGAATGGATAAGAATATAAACCCTAGATCTAGATTGTTCCGGAATGATACAAAGGAGGATAATGGATATCCACAAATATTTCATAACACACACACACACACACACACACACACACACACACACACACACACACACACACACACACACACACACACACACATATATATATATATATATATATATATATATATATATATATATATATATATATATAGCCAGGTCATGAGACAACGACACTTGGCATTCCAACTTTTCGCCAAGTGCCAAGTGTTGCGTCACATTGGATAGATTTAAATACATTTCATAAGATAAAATAGTTAATTTAGATTTCTATTTGAATAGAGTTTTAGGATAAAAAGTTCAGAGTTTTATTTTCGATAAAATACCAGTATTTCAGATGTACAAATTGAATTATAATTTTATTCAAAAAAATTATTAGATTATAATTTACAAAAATTATCATATAAACCTATTTTTTTTATATCATAATATTTTTTGCATCGAAGGAAGTAGTTCAAAGCTTAAAACATCCGATCTATACTGGTTAAAATAATATATTTCACAATCTAACAGAATTTTATTACTATGTAGCTCTGTCAATTACGGTCGGGTCATGAGTCATCTCGAATTGAGTCGTTTCAAATTACGATTCACGAAATGTTTAACCCTTGACCAAAGTTTTGGGTTCGGGTTGTGTCAACCTGATGGGCTTTGAACATTTGTTTTATTTTATTTATTTTTTGCTATTTTTTTTTAATTTTTTTGATGTATTAAATCGAACATTTTCACCAATTCCTACTAGATAGCAAATCGTCACAACAATACTTCAATTCCTAACTAATTTTGTATCAATGATATATTTAAAATTTGACGTAAATCTTAAAATTCAATAAACAACCCAGGTATCGCACGGGTACAAAACTAGTATATATATATATATATATATATATATATATATATATATATATATATATATATATATATATATATATATATATATATATACTTAAAATAAGGATGAATTTTTTCCATATATAATTTATGTTTTTTGAAAGACATATATAAAAAAAATTTAAGCTATTAAAGATCATTGATTAGTAAAACTACAGTATTTTTTTAAAAAAATAAAATAAAATAAAAATAAATAAAAGCGTGAATGATGTTTATAAAAAATAAAATTAAAAAAAAAAACGTGTATGATTGAGTTAAAGAAGATAAAATAGAATATTTTGATAGCCATTTATATAATCATTGCCTAATTAAACTGTCATAGCTCTATATATATATAATAAAAAAAATAAAAAAAACTAAATCATCATACTTATCTAGTTATCTTGATAAGATAAGATTTTGATTTTTTTTTAAAAAAAAATACTAGCGTAGTTTTTTTTAACAAGTACGGAGTACTAATATATGGTTACTCCTTACTTGTATTTGATAATTGCTATATGTAATTATTTTTAAAGGATGTAAATTTTTTAATTAATACGTTTTTTTATGCAAACGAGGAGCTAGGCCCATATTTTTTAATTAATACATACGAGTATAATTTATAATAACTAAATAAAATTAATTTTAAAAAATCTACAAAAAAAATTAAATTATTACCATTTCTTTAATATTTATATGGTGGATTTATTGTTTATATGTTCTTATAAGTTTATTATTACCTCCATCATTAAATTAGTTACCTATTTCTAACATTTATTACTCACATAATTAAGAGAAATGAGACTCTATTAAAACGAAAGAGGGAGTACCATTTCTTTAATTTGGGTGACATTGTCACATCCTAATACATTTTCAGATACGCAATTTATTATTTAAGTTGAAATAAGATATTTTTTTAGTAAATGACTAATTTTTTTTTTACTATTTAGTTTTGGTTACGCTAAATAATAGTATTCTTGGTAGTCTTTCATACTCTTCGTTATTGGAAGGGCTCTCCCTTGATATATGAAAATGATTTTTTGTAGTAATACTCACTACTGAATGTTTTTTTTTTTGTTTTTTTGTTTTTTTTTGTTTTTTTTACAAAGTATTGAATTTTGAAGCTAGCCATTTTTGAACTTGGGAGTTAATTTAAGCTGAAATGAATTACCCAAAAAAAATAATAAAAAAAAACCTTACGTAATTTTAACATTTTCGTTTGATTTAGAAGGCATTATTTGGGGAAGGATTGTATGAATTTTTTTTCTATTTAATTGTTTCAATTATTTTAATAAATAAAGAATCACAAAAATTAATTTCAATTCAGTAAAATTGACTTAACGTTAGTAAAAAAAACATTAAGTAAAATAAAATAAGTATAGTAAAAATAAAGTGAAGATCACAAGGCCTAAGTAAACCTAAATTTTATCATAAATTTTTATATGTGGCTAACCACACCATGTAGACGAGGTCACTTATAAGGGTTACTTATTCT